TTTAAAGCTTTTAGCGTGGTTGATTTATCAGCCCCGTCTACTTTGGTGTCTCTAAAATAACGCCACTTAATGGACCGGGAAAAGCAAAAATCTAAGAGGAAGGTCTATGAATGAAAAATCCTCAGTGTTCCCTGGTTAATGATGGTTGTAAGACCCGGGGATAATCCCAAGGGTCCGCTTGGGACAGCGCTGCAATCCCTGCCCAGACACTGGAAACTGCGTGTCACGGCCACAAATTCCTTTATGTACATTTGAGCTGTGCATTTTACACGCTTTGCCCATAATGTGGGACCTGGGGTAGTTCACACTGGTAGTTTTATACCCTCCTGAGCAGTACCTACCTGTTTTGCTGCTCTCAGTACCTCAAGTATTTGCTCATTTATGATGCTGAGTGTTGAAAAAGAAAATAAATGTTTTGAATTTCTGAGGTACCAGCTGCTGGTAAATGCTCCAGGTACTGACACCTTGAAATGCACAGGGCCCTCGAGTGTTTCTCCACGGGTACAATGGGAAAAATCACCTCAAAATAAACCAGAGTTAAAAAAAAAAAAAGAAAAAAAGCTTTAATATGAAAAGTTGTGCAAAGGCATTAAAAGCAACTAGTGTGGGATCATATTTTACCCACATGTCTCTTAACCACAGAGTCATCCTGCTTTCATTTAAAGCTTTATTACAGATTGCCCGTTTTTCTGAAGGGCAAACTGAGAACAAATATAGATGTCATAGGTCGGGACGTTGGTTTGGGTTGCAGAAATATTTTCTGCTTAACTCTGTGGCCGTTAACGCTTGGCTTTGTCCCTCAGTGGCAATTCCTGATTATTATTGGAAGCCTTTAAAAAAATTTTAAAAAATTCAGGTGTCTCATAAAGTTTACCTTACTTTGATTCTTTTTTTTTTTAGCTTCGAATTTTTCTTAACTTCCTTACTTAGCAGCAACGTTTTCAGCACAATATATAAGCAACCAGCCAGAACCTGAAATCACAGTAAGGACATGCAGATAAAAATGAATAGGTTCATTTAATCTGAAAGATCTGGCTTGAAACCAACATTAAATACAGTTCACAGCGGGTGTGTGTCGGAGCAACGTGTAATCTCTGAGCGGGAGGTGGTTTTAAGAGACATGACATACCTTGAGCTGCGCGGGAGGGGAGGTGCGGGTGTGATGGAGACCTTTTGTTCCCCCGGCGCGGTGGGAGGGCGGCAGGA